TCTGGAAGTAAGCGTGAATTCGCTTCCGTTCCATTGTAATGTTATGGTATTGTGTGTTTATCACACAAATGCCGAGACGTGATGTGTAGGCTTTGGCCATAACGCTTCAGCATTAATCTTTATTTGGTCGGGGGTTATGTGTTGTTTAGCCAGACAATAGAATGCAGCTTTCATCGGGAATAACTGTTCCATAATGGTACGCCCGCTACCTAACGACTGGAAAATCCACGTCCATATTTTTTTTAGTCCAACAATTTGACATTGTGTCTGGCGCTATCTCCCTTCCGGACATTTGACGACAAATTCCGCTCACATCCCCCAAGACAGAGACATATCGGGTGTGAAAGCTTTCGGTCCAAGTTTATTTCGATGGAGATTTACACAAAATTAACTTGTTTGAGTCGGTTTAATGAAGTTCGTTTTAGTCATTTTCTATTACGGGGTCGTTTTCGATATTTGTGTTAAATTTTGATAGAGTTCGTGTCTTATAAATGAGATTGTTTGAACGCGTTCAATGTAGATGGTTCGAGATATTTGAATTGGAGTATTGATACTCGAAGAAATTTAAGTTTGCGAACTTTGCTAATTTGAAAGATTTGAAATAGTACAGTCGTACATCTTCAAAAACTTTTAATTAAAGCAATTATCGGCTGATTGAAAATCGAAGAAAGAATACGCAAATGGGTTCACGAAATTTCGGTGTGTATACTGAGATGATTCAACTAGGAGTGCTTACAGATAGTGTACTCTGCGTTTACCATTGATTTTTTTTAAACGCATATTATCTACTTTTATTTGTATTAAAGAAGCTGCGAAAATTAATAAGAAAGATATTTTGATTTTGCCTTACAAGCTTAAATAAAGTTCTACTCTTAAATATCTCCACGTCCGATAATATAGAGAAGGAATTCAATATAGAATATGACTGCTGTTAGAACATCTTTAATGTAATAATTATCTTATGGGTGAAGCTAGCATTCCTTTAATATGTGTTGGAAGCTGTGCCTCAAGAACCTCAAAATTGTTCCTTAAACATCTTTATAATAAAGTTTCGGTATCTATTATAGAACTTAACTAGTTTTAGAACAGATATAAAGATATACAAACTTTAAATGTATTTCCTAATCTAAATTTTCTATGCATAATTTATTCATCGTTTTTGATTTATGTATTTACATAGAAATGTGTTATTTCTACGACAATTTACAACAATGTACAACGTAGAATATAAAAAAGTGCCTGTAATTAGTTTAGGAACTGAAGGCGACGGAAGATATTTATAGACGGAGAAGTTCCACAAACACCTTGAACATAACTTGCTGGAGTTGTATAAAATCGTATAATCAATAAAAAGTAGACTGTGATTACTTTACATGTATAACGTTTGAAAACTACGCCGAAATGATGAATTCTAGACAGAGCAGAGTTTTTGGAATCTGTAAGCAACTAGGTAAATTGGTAATCCAATTCTCGACGAAATGCATTCTCAATAAAGAAAGTTTCTTCAACTTGAGAGAATATAAAATGTTCAACCTCAATACAGTAAGTTCAAGCGGTGAGTTAAACTTAACTTAGCCAATTTATCAATATTGATTTATTCCTTGTTCTATGCATTTTTCATGATTAAGACAGCCGGAAATGTAAACGTCGACTACCATTACCCATTCACAACGAAAAAGAGTAAAAATTAGTGAATAATTCACATTCAGACGGGAAAGACATTATAAATACTCGTGTTTCAGATTAAAAACGCTCTGACTACATTTTTCATCTCGCCGCTTTTTTCCTCGCTAAACAGAAATTAAAAATATTAGAAAAGATTAGTCAATCTGAAAACACGGCCTAATTTTCCGGAAAATTTGTCAAGCTCTTTATTCGTTTAATCCTAATAGCGACTGTCAGCTTCAGATATTATTAATTTGCATCTCTAATAACCGTGGAACTTGCGCCTTCAAATTTACAAATGAATTCTAGCACGAGATCAAAATCTCGGTCTATACCTAACAGCACAAAAATCTTTAATAAAAGTTCAGAGAGAGTTTTGGTGTATGTTGTTTATTAGAGTAAAAGTTTAGAAAATAAATTCGCAAACATTAAATATATCGTTTAAAACACACAGAGCATATAACAAAATCATTTTAAACTTGTACACAAATTCCAGACCAGCTTTTTTTTGCAATATGGATTCACATAATTATTGTAACATTTTAGCGTTATCACCATTAGAGTTAAAATTTAATTGTTTAATGTTTTTCCCTTGGAAAATTAAAATCTACATGCATTTAAATTTAAACAACTATATAGTTTAATGCGTTTCATTTCATCCGAACACCAACGTTTGTTAATGTCGAAAATTGTTCAATGAAACATTTACAACAAATTTCGGTTTTTTCTGTTCAAATGACACCTGCTAAACTGCCTTTTTAAATTTTACTGTCGATGGTTTCCATTTAACGGGAGAGAGACACTGGTATAGGTACATATTACACAATAGATGAAACATTCTATAAAATAGCAAATATTCCGTTGTTAGGAATACTGAAAGAACAAATAATACATGTATCTGGAAAACTACTCACAACGTAATTTTTTGTGATGAGGTTATCATTTTTTTGGCCACGAATTAAAAAAAAAAATAGACGTGCTATTCCCGGAATAGTTGCAAAAAATATATGTTCGTATATTATTTATTTATTTAATGTTTTTTTGAGATTAATTTTTAGTGTTTCTGCGATAATCGATAAAATAATTCTGGTTATTCAGTTATTTTTTTTTAAATTGTTAGAAGCGTGTGTTTTAGAATTAAAAGCATATATATTTCTAAAGAATAAGTCATATTACAGTGACGGCCTATTTCTCAACATTTAGTTAACAATAATAATTTGTTTAAATGATTTTTTTTAAGGACCAACGCAGACCTTCTAGACCCATAACATGACATTGTATTTTTATTTTTGGGGTTTCTTGCCTTTTCCTTTCAATTCAAAATATACTTTTGTGTAAGGTACTTCAAGATTTTATCGTACCATTTCTTCTTCGGTCAGCCTTTTCTCCGGGTCCTCTGCATATCAGCCTCAATTATTCCACTGTTCTTTGATCTCTCATCATTTCTAAATGTCCCAACCATCTTGTTCTTGCCGATTTGGCCTCCTCTGTAATATTTGACTCCTCAAACAGCATCGTGAATTCTTGATTAGTTTTTTTTGACTCATAAATCTGTCTTTTTTTTTCTTTCGTAGATTCCCCTCGATATTTTTATTCTTCTCTCTATTTTTCTATTATTTTTGCAACCTAAAATCAATTTCCTTGCATTATTCTCTATTTTCCGTCGTAAGTATATCAATAAAAATAACACTGGCCACTCGTCAAAATTTCAGTTCTTTTCCTTCTCGCCATTCAATTTCTAACTCTTTTGCTTTTTGTCGCCCTTCGAGATGTACTTTTTCTCATTTATTAGTTTGCATCTTCTGCTGCTTCTGCTAATGTTTGCAGTTTTACCTTCAGATTTTGTTTCGTCCTTGTCAGCAAGACCACCTCGTCAGCATACGCTACCAATTGATGGTTATTTCTCCATATTATCCATTCTAATAATAAATTAAACAACATGGTTGACAGCCGGTCTTTTGTTTTAAAATTTGTTGGTGCTCTGCGTAGGCCTTTACTTTCATCTCACTATTTTAGTGATTTAATTTTGACTAACTTTATCCACTTTTCGAAAAGATTCACTTTCGTCAATGCCATATACAACTTTAATTTACTTATTGTGTCATGGGCTTTCTGTGGCATATATCGTGTTGAATTTGTAACGCATTCTCCATGTTTGTTTCAATACAAAGATTTGATCTATGACCGACCTGCCTCTTCGGAATCCATTTTGGTAGTCACCTATGATATTGTCTGTGTATTTTTTTAAATTTGCTTTGGATACGTTTTGTCAAGATCTGATAGATTATGCCTCTATAGTTCTAGCAACAATCTGTTTTCCCTTTTTTGAAAATTAGCGCCAGCAGTCCCACTTTCCAAGCTGTTAGCATTTCTTTTTCGTTCCAAATATCGTTTATTAGTTTCTAGTGTAAGTCTATCAACCCCGCCAATCTTCCAATAGTTTAAATAATGAACTATAGTTACTATTTCTTCCTTTGTTGATGGTACTAAATATTTCTTCTTAGTTTATTCCTAATGTAATTTCTTCATTTTCCGTGTAGCTTTTGTTCCCTTTCAGACTCTCTTCCAAGAATTTCTTCCACCTATTAATTACGTCTTGGTCATTTGCAATTATTCTTCTTGTCGTATTCTTAATAAATACGGTGTTAGCTTGGCGTTCATTATTATTGCTTTCAATTTCTTAGATTTAGATATATTATATTTTTATAGATTTATTTTTATCCTTTTCGGTGAATTTTTCCTCCGCTTCTCTGGTTTTATTTTTGATGTATTCTTTTCTTTCGTAATTTTGGTGTTTCAACATGTGGTCAATCTGATTGGTATATTCCCCTACACAAAGGGTTTTTATAAATGATTCTAAGGGCGTAATTGGCCATTGATTTCAAAAATCCCGCTTCGCTAAAATTATGCCTCCTTATGACAGTTCTCACTTGTCATTAATGTCATTTGTAACCTGTCATTTAAAGTCCATGACCTACTTCGATCCTATAATAATTTGTAGAAACCATGTATTATGTTTTGTTGAAATTTCGTACTCCGATTATTATTGGTTTCTTCCTTTCCAGTTTTGGTGTGAAAATTGCCTATCAATATTTAAATATCCTTTTCGGAAATTTTATTAAACTCTTTTCTTAGTTGATTGAAGAAGTTGTGTTCTTCTTCTTCGATTTTGTCTTCGTTTAGTGCATGAGCCATTAATATGCTTGTTTTTGTGCTATTTAAACCGAATTGTAAATAACACATTCTATGCCAAATAGCTTTAAAATTTTTTATTACTTTTTTATCTTTTTTGGTATCATGAATGTTACTCCAAGAATTTTTGCCGATACATTCCATGTATCATATCAGATCTCAGTTTTTGACTCTTTTTACTTCCCGAGCGTAAGCTAAGGCAGTACTTATATTAATCGAGTTCATGGGCCGAATTGCCACTTTCATATTTTCTCGACGTGTCATGATCTCGAGAGTACGTAAAAAGTGGTCTCCCGTTTCCGTTTGTCACTCTGTCTGTCTGTATGTCGGTCTGTCTGTCTGTATGTTTGTCTGTCTGTCTGTCTGTCTGTCTGTCTGCCTGTCTGTCTGTCTGTCTGTCTGTATCCATTTTTATTAGAAAAGTAATCTTCGAAACTGCTGGACCGATTGTTGTCACATTTTGTATGGATGTTAGGAATATCATGCAGATGGTTAAACATTAACTAAAATTTGGCTAATTATTTCCAACACCATTTGATGACGTCATCTTCAAAATTGTTACGAGCCAAACTCACAGCTCGTTGCCGGCCTGCTAGTGGAGAAGGGGTGAGTTCCTGCGGGTGCAAAGGGTCAGGTCGCTAGAGGTTCGCAAAGAAGAGAGAGCACACTGTTTTGTGTAGCGGCGTCGCCAGGGCGCCACCAGTTTTTATTAAGACACAATTACAACAACAAAAAACCGGAAAAATATTTAACTATTGTAATTGCAAGCTGTTACTTAAATTATTGGTTACAATAAAATCTAAGGTCACTAATTAAAAATAAAATAAGAGTGATAAATAACTAAATAAGTAAGCAAAAGGAAATGAATAAGATATTAATGATGACGATTTAATGCGACTAACGGTTTACGATAAATACGAGCGATACGAACGATAGTTTTATTACGAAAGGCGACGAATTAATTAACGATAAATACGAGCGATACGAACGATGTTTACGAAACGAACAAATTAGTTGGGGTCGTAACGACTAACGATTTGATTAATTATTTCGAGGGCTATGAGATAAACGAAGTAGGCCACACGCTCGGTAGTCCTAACGTACGTACGAAGGTATTAACGTAGAGCGGAGCGTCACAGTCTTACCGATTGTTATGACTAGGTTATGTGCGAGTGCTAGTTACGCCAAACTTCGAAACGTTTTGCGATACAATAAAGAAAAGGTAAGGCGACTAATACTTAATGAGATGGAATGGAAGTACCATGGGCACCTGCCTCCTTCGATATCCACGACGAGATGTCGAAACACAGCGGCGTCGCAGCGAATTCCCAGTCGATGTCGAGTCGAGGTTTTTGGTAACTCTCCAGCTGTTCTGGGAGGGCTCACAACTGCCCACAACAGTTGGAATTCATAGAATTCGTTCTCCCACTCGAAACTGGCTCCAATTCTCGATCACGGGAATAGCAAGATCAGCGACAAAAACAAAAAAGCTGCAAGGAGAGCAAAGTCTGAGAAGATGTTCGAACTCAGTCAACCCCAAGGGTTCCACATGTCACATGCACTTGGTAAGTAGCAAAATATTATCGTTAACATGAAAATAACCATAACCACTGTTCGAAGGGATGCCAGGGAAAAGCTAATCAAAAGATTTACCTGCGGATCGACTGCAGCTTCTCCGATGTTAGCGGGATGGTCTAGTGCCCTTATCCAAAATCCGACAAAGTCGTAGTGCTCGAATGCACTATATCTTTTACAGCTCACAAATGCGCTCCAAGCGATAGCACCTTTTAGGGGACCCAACAGATCCAACGAATGCGATTCCAAACGTAACACCAAATAAAAGGTTGCTAAAACGAACTGCAAAAGAGGAAAGCACTAACCCCCAACACCATTCAACACGAAGTACCCAAGCAAAATGGATTCCCTTCCACCTGCGATGACGTGGCAAGGTAACGAAGCGAGAATTAACGGAAGTTTGGCCCTCTAGTGGCAAACTTACGAAACGTCGAATTCCGACGAAAATCCCTAATCGATGTAACTAATGAGTGGATGCGATGGTTATTAACAAAAGAAAAAAAACAAACAAGGCTATCAAGATTCCAGAAATGACGAAGACTCTAGGGGACGCTCCACGGCGTTTGTTCCCACCTAGGTAAGCAAATGAAATTCGCGAACAAAAATAACAAACAGAACGAAAATCGAATTTCAGAGTGAAGCTCTGGGATGGCGCGATCCATCCAGTTCCTTATAGCAAGAACCAAGCTGAAACGATCCAGAAGACCGATCTACAAACAGCGAGGCTGAAACACTCATCTGAGCCCCTCCAAGTTCAGAATCATCGCGACAGTCTTGCGACTGGGGGAGTCAAAAGCTCGGGACGAACCCTCCACCAAAGTTGTCCTTCATTGCCACCGTGCCCAACCCAACCACCCATAGCACGAAATGACGAAACGAAAAAAAAAACGAGTAAACAAAATGTAATCCGATCCGAGAATGCCAATAAAAACCGAAATAGCTACTGCGAATTTTCAATTCGTAACACTCCCCTCTTTCCCCCTCTTAGGAAATTTTCCTCAGCGAAAATTTCACACCGATAGGTAGGATAGGCGACTGAACATCACGACTACTCCGGGCTCTGCGGTGGTGGATCCTGATCGACGAAAGGTTTTAGATCCTTGACGTGCCATTGCCGACGGCCCTTGTTGTCGTCACCTTCCAGGATGTACGTCCCATAGCCTATCTTACGCGAAACACGAAAAGGTCCAAGATAGCGAGGAGCAAGCGAAGAAGAGTAGTGTTTAGAGGCGTCCGACAAAGAATAGTTTTTACGCCACACGAGATCACCAGGAGAAAATTCGAAATGTCGACGTCGCAAATTGTAAGCGCGTGAGCTATTCTCTTGGGCTTTGATCAAGCGTTGTTCAACTAGTTTATACAAGCTTCGCAGTTCTTCCTCATCAGGCGGCTTGCGCTTTAAGAAATCGAGTCCATCCGGGTTTTCGATGGTTCCAAACAATTTTCCGGAGCTAACAAATTCGCGACCGAACGTAAGACGAAATGGAGTAAAACCGGTAACTTGATGTACGGAGGTACGTGCTGCACATGCCAATTTCCGTAGATGCCGATCCCAAGAACGCTGATCATTTTTCGCGAACGAAATGAGCATTGCTTTCAACGTTTTATTCACCCTTTCGGTAGGATTTGCCTGTGGATGGTAAACAGGAGTAAAGCGACGAACAAATCCATACCGCGATGCTAGTTGTTGTAGTTCGCGACCCGCAAATTGAACGCCATTGTCCATTAGCATAAGTTGCGGTGCCCCAAATAACAAAATGATCTCCTCCTCTAGAAGTCGAACAATATTTTTAGCCGTGGCTTTACGAAGTGGGAAAAACCGACAGAATTTACTGAAACAATCGCTCACCACTAAAATACTCGTATATCCCTGAGTAGAACGAGGGAGTGGTCCAACTAAGTCCGTGCTAATAATTTTCCAGGGTCTATCCGCGATAGGGTTTTTGGCCAGAAGTCCTTTAGGCGCAAGCTGTTCCGGTTTAGTCATTTGACAGGTCCTACACCCACGAACATAACGGGCAACGTCAGAGCGTAAGTGCGGCCAATAATAAACTTGACTGATGCGCTTATAAGTTTTAAATACGCCTAAATGACCCCCTAAAGGAGTGTCATGGTTTCTTTCCAAAACCTCTACCCGATATTCCTTGGGAATAACTCGCTTCCAAGCGAAGAGTGGATCGTTACAAGTGTTGTCACGCTGATGAGTGAGTTTATAAAGCTGATGACCGTCAACTCGCCACTGGGAGTAACGTACGGGATTTTTTCCGACCTCCGCGAGCATATGATTATACCAACGATCCGTTACCGCTGCCGAAACAGACACGACGCCCTCATCAGACGGATTTACGACCTCCGACAGGGTATCAAGTTTAGTAACAGCACGACTGAGCGCATCCGGCACAACATGCGAACTACCCTTTCGGTGAACAATTTCGAAGTCGAACGCTTGCAAGCGTAGAGCCCATCGACAAAGCTTCCCCGTGGGGTTTTGAAGATTTTGTAACCAAACAAGTGAGTGATGGTCCGTAATGACCGTAAAGCGATACCCCTCAACATATCCACGAAATTTTTCGACTGCCCAGATCACGGCTAAGCACTCCTTCTGGGTGGTACTATAATTGCGCTCGGCGCGATTAAGAGATCGACTAATGTAGCTGATGACGTGCTCGCCATCCGGATATTCCTGCGTTAGTACGGCGCCGATTCCGTAATCGCTAGCATCCGTCTGGATGACGAATGGACGCGAAAAATCTGGACAACAAAGCACGGGAGCCGACACTAATTTTTCTTTGATGGTACGAAAAGCCCCTTCCTGATCTAAACTCCAAACAAAAGTATGTTTCTTCCGTAGAAGAGTAGTTAACGGCGCCGCGATTGTTGAAAAATTTGGTATAAAACGCCGAAACCACGAAGCAATTCCCAAAAATTGGCGTACTTGCTTGACCGTACTCGGACTAGGAATATCGATTATCGCTGATACTTTTTCCGGATCGACGTGGAGTCCGTCTCTATCAACGACATAGCCGAGATACTTCAAGCTTGGTAAACAAAACTGACACTTGTCCCTTCCCACAGTTAAACCTGCAGCTAGCAGACGTTCGAGAACTAATTTAAGAACTTCTACGTGTTTCTGGAAAGTAGGAGTTACGATAACAATGTCGTCGAGGTATTGAAAAACATAAGGCTCAAGGTCATGCCCTAAAATGGTGTCTATTAACCGCTGAAAAGTTGCGGGCGCGTTGGAAAGCCCAAACGGCATACGACGAAATTGAAACAACCCCCTACCCGTTACTGAGAACGCTGTAAATTCACGACTTTCTACCGCAACCGGCACCTGCCAGTAAGCCGATTTGATATCGAGACTACTCAAATATCTCGCGTCCCGGAGTTTGTCTAAAATTCCTGATATTAGTGGAAGTGGATAGGCATCTTTTTTCGTCACCCGATTTAAGCGACGATAGTCTACACAAAAGCGATAGGCTCCGTCCTTTTTGGGTATTAAAAGAATAGGCGACGACCAAGCAGACGACGAGGGTTCCACGATACCGGCACGTAACATGGAGTCGAGCTCACGATCTATGATCTCCTGCAACTTCGGAGATACTGGAAAGTTGCGTAGCTTAATAGGCAACGCCTCCGATTCGATCTCGATTCTGTGTCCGACCCCTTTGACGCAACCCAGCCCTGAACCACTAGAAGAAAAGTAAGTCTGCACCAAGTCATCAATCTCGGCACGCTGCTCCGAACTAACCGTAAATTCGCGAGAAGTTTCGACGCTGTCAACACAAATAGGAGAAAAATGCCAGCTACCACTACGTAGATCTGGAACAACACCCATACGCGTCCAAAAATCAACACCGAGAACAAGTGTATGTGGAAGTGCCGGAACAAGAAGCACATCGAGCACGATAACGCGGTTTTCCAATTGAAACGGTGCTTGGATTTTTCCGACGACCTCACAATTCGACCCATCGGCAACGATACAGCGAAGATTTGGATCCCGGTCAATTCTGAGATTCAACGACTTCAACAAAGACATTCCCGCTCGACCAAGAATGGTACGACTTGCTCCCGAATCGAGCAATCCTAACATGGTGACGTTATAACAACTCACCTTCAAATGTGGGCGATTATCCTGATCACTACCTTGCAAAATAAAATCTAAAATTACGCGCATCGCCGGAGCGATTTCCAAACGGGTGGTCAAAACAGATGAGGGTGGCGTCGGGAAGTGACCAACTCCCGAGGCCCTTCCTAGTTTCCCGAACGCGTAGTATTTCGAGTTGCGACCGAATTACAACTAGGACACGTACGAACCGTATACCCCGCTCTCTTACATTTGTAGCACGCAATGCCCTGAACAGTCCGACACTCTGCCGCACGATGTCCGACCTTATCGCATTTCCAACAAGACAAAGCCGTAGCCTGAGGTTGGCGACGAGGAAGTGCTGTCGTCTCCACAACCGACACTTTTGGATGACTACGAATTTTCCTATTCGGAAGAGAACAAGCTAAGTCGGGTTCAACACACTTAGACGTCGATTGAGACGATTTCCCGTAACCGTCCGCCGAATATTTGCAACGCTCCAACCGCTTACAAAGCTCACCAAGTTCCGCCATGGTCTCGGTGGTGGTCAAACCTAATTGAAGTTGGAAAAATGGTTCGAGATTCCTACGCACCACATTGACCTTGACATCCTCCGGTATTGCGCGATTTAGTCGCGAGAAAAGGTTTTCCATATGCGCGATAAAAATACCCACGGTCTCGGTAGAACCCTGACGCCGAGTGCGAATCTCGTCCCACAAGAGTTCATCAAAATCCGGAGGCTGAAACTCCGCACGAAGCTTCGAGCACATCGTCGACCACGATGTCAGCGAAGACCGATTAGCTCGCCACCAAACTAAAGCCTTTCCAGCGAAAAGAAAAATGGCGCTAGCGACCAAACTGTCACACTCCACACCATAAGCAACACAAAGTTCTTCCGCCCTTTCAATAAACGCGTTGACACTCATATTTTCCCCGTCAAACTGCAAGTTCCACGAACGAAGGTCTTTCGGCCTTATCGAAACAGTCTGCTGAGCCGTATTAGCAGCTTGCGAGTTCCGCGGATTGAGACGCGAAATGAGGAGATCCGTGTCGTCATCGGATTCAGCGTCGTCTTTCTGAGGACTTCTACGAGGAGTCGAAGCAAGCGCCAAGTGGAAATTCACCAAAGAATTTGTCGAAGGTGGTACAGCCTGCTCGTCGACAGTTTTCCTCAGTTTTTCATCGAACGAAGACTTTATCGTTAACACCGTAGTAAACAGCGTAGCGCGTGCTTCCTTTTCTTCGGGTGTTTCACCCATAGGTAACCGATTGACTCGACCGAAAGTATGTA